CTGGGTTTGGAGCATTGTATAAAATTTCAACTTATGTTCACAGTTTAGTCGAACTTTGTAAAAAATTGGCCATTAGCCCCCAGCAAAAAAAAAAAGTACATTGATGTTATCATTCTCTTTTGTACATTAGAACTTCAACTTCTGAATGAACTTTGACTAAAGTGGGACAAAACTCAGGGATTTTAAATACTTTTTCTGCTCATTAAAAGCTATGATAAATTTTGCTGAAGATTAAATTTTGGTTAAGTTTCAGGGGTTTGTACATGTAGCACAGAATCTTCCTCCACTTTAAGACATCTATTTAATGACAAAGAAAGACTAGTATGGGGTAAAGAATGCTGTAAAAAAATAAAGTCTGACAAGAATGAAAAGATAGAGCAAATGGACTCCCATTTCAACAAGAGAAAATAAAGTGATGCACACAACTTTTTAAACCAAGTAATGGCCCCATTTATTAAAGAATACTTTTGTACAGTCTACTTTTCACTGGTCTGTTCTGGCATGCTTCTAATGATGTCAGAATCACCTAGAAAATTTAAAAAAAAGTAATGTTACAATTTTACATAAAGACAACTGATGAAACTATTAAACCTATCATCACCGGCAGTCAAAAGTAAATAAATTCTCTTCTTGGGTTATTCTCCCTGAAAATTACAACAATTTTTTAGACTGCTGTCAACACTGTCACCAACTATTAGGCTTGCTCACCTTCCTTTTAAGTGAACATAGTTATCTCCCCAAGAGCAATCTTCATTTCTCTCAGAATTGAAAAAAAGACCACTAAAAAACTAACACTCCAGTTTCTGTTCCCAGAAGCCAACAGTAAGTCAAACTAAAGACAAATCAATACATCTTACCTTTCGTTTGTTACCAGCATTTATAAAACCAAAACTAGGGAAGAGAACTAGTTCTGGAGACACAATGCATGGTCTTAATTTAGCGAATGTCTAGCCTGACCAGATCACAATAATACCAGGCCAGCGAGAATATTCGCAATACGCTAAACCAAACTCCACTGATCATTAGGCTACCTATGCTGTCAATTTTATTCTGGAGCTAATGATTTCCTTACCCTCTCAAGGCATCAGTGATACTTAAATTCCCTTTCCTAATTACTAATTCCTTTTTTTCTTTTTGGCTAGGCAATAGGGTTAAGTGACTTGCCCAGGGTCACACAGCTAGTAAGTATCAAGGGTCCAAGGCTGGATTTGAACTCAGATCCTCCTGACTCTAGGACCAGTGGTCTATCCACTGCGCCACCTAGCTGCCCCCTAACTACCAATTCCTTAAAACTATATCCTATATAAAAGCTGAAGTCTTGTGAAATAGCCCTATTGTTCTAAAATAACTTAAGTACAAAAACTTCGGCAACCCAGAATTTTTGTACACTCACCAATCCTTTCCCAAAAGAAAATCTGCCATTTTAATTAATTTTCCCTTGTCCAGCACAGCACTGCCTGCTTAGGCAAGTGGCTACTCCTTAGGCTGCTTAGTCACATAAAATAACTTGTTAAAGGTATGTAGTTTGTTTTTAAACATCTACAATCCTAATTCACAGTAACTGAGGTTTAGCACAGCGCTTGTTAATTCATCATCCATGTGTTGGCACCATTAAGTTCTTAGATATTATCCCATGAAATAAACTACCAAGTTTAGAAAAGGGATACTATGTAGTACACATGTGTTAAGCTGGACTCCTTAAATAAACATACCTGGATCAATGATAGCCAGTGTACACACTCTGTAGTACTTCCCACATGCTGTACCCAATTCAATGTTATTGCCACTGTAGTGATGTACGCCAGTTTTGGCCAACATAGCGTAATATTCAATCTCTGATTTCCTGAAGATAAATAAAAGTAATGACATATTAGCTCATTTAAGAACTTGAAGCTTTGCTACTGCCTACTGGATAAAGGTCAAAATCAAACTATCATACTTCAACTTACCTTTTCCAAAGTTAACTCTTATACTCCCTTCCTCCAACCCCTCATACACACTATAATTCAGTAAAATAAGAATTAACAATGCAAAGCAAGCCTACATTTACCTGCCTGTTCCTTTTCTTACACCATTCCTTCTGTCTATAAGTTAGTTTTTCCTGCTAACCTATCTTTCAGGGTCACAACCCATAAACTTCCCTTCAGTATCTTTGCCAAGAAAACCCCAAATGGGGTCACGAAGAATCTGATATGACTAAACCCACTGAACAACAACATTGTGCTAAGAGCTGGGTAGACAGAAAAACAAGACAGTTCCCTTGTCTCAAGCTCAACATGGAAGACAACACGCAAGTAACTGTACAAACAAGACATACACAAGATAAACTGGAAATAACAGAAAGTGAAATTTTAGCTGGAACTTGAAGCAAGTCAGGGAAGCCAGGAGTACAGATAAGTATGCAAATAATTTTAGAAAGCAATTTATGAGTGCTTATTATGTGCCAAACATGGAAAGGGTTATAAAAAAGGACTAAAATAGGCTGAAGCTGCCTGTTCTCATGCTTAGCACAGTGCTGGGAAGGCACATAGTAGATACTTAATGTTTATTGACTGGCTGTTCTCAAAGAACTTACAATCTAGATGACACAATACATACACAAAAGCATATGCTTAGTACCACAAACCATTATGACAGACAAATGAATAGTATAGGCAGAAAGTGCTAGTTTCCCAGAGGAAGTAAAGCTATCACTCTGTATCAGTGGTCAAAGGAAGTTCCAAAGAGAGTCTTTGAAGGGACCTGAAAGGATAAGCCAGCCAACTGGGAAGGCACAAAACTCCTGGTCATGCTAATTTGCACACCGGCCAATGGTCAAAACAGAAATACCATGGGTGTGTAAAAATTGAAAAAAGAAAAAAAAACCACCCTATTTTTAAAAAAAAGTTTCTTTAGGTCTTAAATTCACAAAAAAAGTTTTGAGAAATGCTGTCCATGGCTGAGCAGTTTTCTAGAACCAGTTAAATTCCTACAGACCTCAACATTTAAATCTACATGCAATATTGCTCTAGTACAGGTATCAAACACTCTGCTTGAACCAGCTTAAAATATAACTGGGAAACATTTAACAAATAAACAAAAAATACAATAAAATAGATGTCAATATGTGGTTTTCTATGTGGTCTGCAACATTTAGTGACCTCTATTTTTTAAGCTTAACACCACTGCTTTACAGTACATTTTACCCCTCTCTAAGCCTCAGAAATCATGTGAGGCAGTTAGGTGGCATAGTAGGTAGAACACTGGACCTAGAAACCAGAAGACCAGCAATTCAAATCGTGCCTCAGACCCTTACTACAAGGGTCCCATCACTTAACCTCTATCTGCCTCATTTTATCTGTAAATGAGAATAAGAATAGCTAACCCCAGTATTGTTGTCAGTATAAAATGAGCTAATATTTGTAAAGTGTTTTACAAACCTTATATTTGGCCAATTCCCTCATCTTACAGATAAAGAAACTAAACTCATTTCACCACATGTTAAGTGTCTAATATACAAAACAAACAAGATCCCTTACAGCTCCAATATTCCAAGTCTTGAAAGGATTACAAATAGATTCATAGTCCAGACAGCCAATGGCATACTTTTTGTATACCAGTTCAAATCAGAAACATATCAGCCTGCAACATACATATTAAGTACATGCCCTAGTAAAATGGTTAACTTTAAAAGAAACAATCTAAAGAATTCCTTCCAGCTTCCAAAATGCCCTGACTGTAGCTCAAAATCACCGTCTCACAGCAAGGATGGTAAACACATGAAAATTAAGACTAGCTTATGCTATCAGATCCTAATTTTAATAAGCACAATTTCTTAGGTCTCAAGTTCTTTTCTCAAAACAACCCTCTAAGGTAAGTGGTGCAAATTTTACCCTCATTTTATACACACACACACACACACACACACACACACACACACACACACACACACAGAGCAAGTGAGGCTCAGTTCCTGGTCACATGGATAGTATGCTTCAAAGCAGAATATGAAACCAGGTTTTTACAAGTTGTTTTTCAAATAGCCCGATATCTACCTAAAACTTTGCAAAACCTTTTACATATTTCATCTCATTTGATTCTCATAAAAATGTGAGGAAGGCGTATGATCTCTATTTTACAGCTGAGTAAATGAAAGCTCAGAGAGATTCTGACTAGCCCAGGATCCTACAGCAATTAAGTGTGTTTGAAGTCAGACTTGAGTTTGGGTCTCCCTGACCCTCAAGTAACAGGCAGGTTTCTATTCACTTCGCCAAGCCCCGCCCCCCAAAAAACCCAACAAATGATAGCGCTCGAGAAGATACCCCACAGAAGCGTTGGGGGTGGCCCGGAGCACACAGCCAGCCACAAAGGCCACTTACCTCAAGGCTGGGCAGTTGTTGGCTAAGATGACCAATTTGGCTTTGCCTTGTCTGATCATTTTCAGGGTCTGTTTGTAGCCTAGCACATATTTGCCGCTTTTCATGACCAGCTGGAGCCTCGAGTTGATGGACTCCAGCGACTTTTTCTGCAGGAGACATTTCAGACTGTTCTAAGACCGGGGCTCCACACAGCCAGCGCACCCCCACCCCCACCTCAAACCCGCGGCCGGGCCTGAAGGTCCTGGCCCCAGGGCTGTTAAGACTCCAGCCCGGGCTTTCCGTATACGGACCCGCCCTTCGCTCTTCTGGACCCTGGAAATCTCGCCTACGAGGGTATGGTGAGAGTGGAGGTAGTGGGGGTGATTTCACCCCTTCTGATCCCGCCTTCCCGCCCGTCCGCGGTCCCCAGCTGAGGCCCCCGGAGGCCGGCTCGCTCCACGTGTGGAGGCCACCAGCGGCTCGGGCCCGCCCCACTCACCGTCTTCTTTGCGGCCACCATCTTCCTGCCTGCTGTGCGGGAGGACCCTCAGCCTGGAGCACAGAGAGACATGGGGGTACACTTAGCATCTGGAAGCCCCCACCCGCGACCCCGCGGGACCCCCAGGGCCACGCCATCCCCGAGCCCACAGAGTCCCACTCACCAGAGACCTGCCGCCAAGATGGCCGGGAAGCGAGAAAGGAAGGAACTCCCACAATGCAGCGCTCTCCAGGGGCGGGACAGGAAGCGGAAGCGCGTGCGAGCCGAGCCGGGGCCGAGAGGAAGTAGGTAGTCACCCTTGCCAATGGCGTCGGTCATGTGTCAGTAAACGCCGTCGCTCTGTCTTCTCTCTCCGAGGCTGAGGCCGGGAATAGTGAAAGCAGGCCGGCGGGAGGTGCCCGGAGCGGTGAGGATCGGGGAGGATCGGGGAGGGGCGTGACGGAGGTTCCTGGCGTGGACCCCGGGAAAGGTCCTCCCAGGAGATCCAGGCCAAGCCCCTCGTTCTGTAGGTGAGGCAAAGAGCAAGAGCTGAATTTGGACTTGGAGGATGCGGGTTCGAATCTTGGGATACCTTGGGCTTCAGTTGCTAAATCTTCTGCAAAATGAGGGGGGTTGGGCCTCTTTTTAATTTAGTATTTTATTTTCCCCCAGTTGCACGTAAAAACAATTTTTAACATTCATTTTTAAAGCTTTGAATTCCCGATCTCTCCCTCCCTCCCCACCCCCGATTAAGAAGGCAGGCAACTCAATATAGGTTGCACGTGTAGTCATGCAAAACACTTCCATAATAAGTTTGGATCTTTTTTAAAAATCGCATTTGCCATTTATATCGCGTTTTAAGGCTTACAAAGCGCTTAATTTGAAGTCGGGTCTTCCTCACTCCAGGCCCAGCGCTTTTTTGTACCTGACCTAACTGTATTCCAACATAATTGTTTTCCTTTGTAATCCAAATAATTCTGAGGAGCCCACAGACTTTTCACCAGGCTGACAAAAGTGACACAAAAAAAGGCAGCTCAGAATACATAGGATCTATCTGATTGCAACGTCGTCTCGGGAAGGGAGGAGAAAATTTAAAACTCAAAAGCTTATAGAAGTGATTGTTGAAAACTAAAAATTAATTAATTTCTAAAAATGTAAAAAGAATACATAGGACCACAAAGGAAGACGATTGTGTTGAAATGCAGGGGGTTGGTTTGTTTTGTTTTGTTTTTTTAATTCACAGATCGCCCATGAGGAACCCTGGGACTTGATAAAGATCCCTTCCAGCTCTCAATCTGGCATGCCACAAAGTGGGTGTGGGAAGGGAAATGTCCAATGGGTGGCAAAGCCTGACTACCCCCATGAGGGAAGTGCCTCTTTAGGGAAGAGAGGGGGTAAAAGGAGCCACCCCGTTTCCTTGGGAGCAGCAGCTGATGAACATTGTTCCTTCTTCCCCTTCTCTGGGTTCTGTCCCTGGTCCTCTTCTCACTCTATACTACTTCATTTGGTAATCTTATCAGCTTCCTGAATTTAACTACCTATGCTGATGATTCTTACTTCTGTCTTTTCTGCCCCATTATCTCTTCTGATATCTAGTCTCACTTCTCCAACTATGTTTCAGACATCTCCAATTGAATGTCCAGTCAACATCTTAAACTCAGCATATCCAAAACAACTCCTTATCTTTCCCCCTAAAGTCTCCTTTTTTACTGTAGAAGGCAACGCTATCCTCCCAGTCCCTCAGGCTCACAACCTAAGAGTCATCCTGGATTCCTCACTGCCTCTCACCTTCCCATATCCAAGCTATTGCCCAGGATTATTGATTTCACCTTTGCCACATCTCTCAAACCCTCTTCTCTCCTCTGATATTCTAGTACAAATTCTTATCTCTTCACACCTGGATTACTACAATAGGAGGGTCTTCCTGCCTCAAGTCTCTCCTCACTTCAATCCATTCTCCGTTCAAACCGCTTGTTCTGATTATGTCATTCCCTTCCTGAAAAACTTCAGTGGCTTGCTATTGCCTCCAGAAGCATATACAAAATGCTCTGTTTGGTATTCAAAGCCCTTCTTAACCTTACCTTTTTTAATACCTTACTCCCCAACACGTACTTTTCTATCCTCTTCCCAGGGACGTTGGCCTCCTGGCTGTTTTCATGAACAAGACTCTCCATCTCTCAGTTCTGGGCGTTGTCCCTGGCTGACCACCCATGCCTGGAATGCTCTCCCTCCATTCCAAGTACTGAACTCCCAGGCATCTTTTAAGTCCCAAACAAAATCCCACCTCCTACAGGAAGGCTTCCCCAACCCCTTTCCCTCTTGGTTATTTCTTATTCTATATATAGCTTGCTTTGTTTGCATGTTGTTTCCCCTATTAGATTGTAAGCTCCTTGAGGGCAGGGACTGTCTTTTGCCTCTTTTTGTATCCCCAGCACTTAGCACAGTGCCTGGCACATAATAAAAGTTTATTGAATTGAATTATTGAATCTTCTGTTTGCCCTCTCAGCTACTGCTATTGCTGTACTTAGCTTAGAGAATCTCCCTGGGGGTGTCTGACATGGATGGAGGCAGCACTGGGGGCTGATATACTCCCTGTGGCAGGATGAGAGAGAGGTCTTCCCTAAGTTCTCATGAAAATAATGGATCACATCTGCCTTCTCTCACAGCATCAGATTCTTTATTGAAATGAACTTTATAATAATAGTTCTCAGTCCCCAAGTGCTGAAGACAACTCTCTAAGACTATAAGTTCCAAAGAAAGTGCCAACCTACGTAGGAGTTTCTTCATAGATCCAGACCAAAAGAAAAAAAAAGCCAAAAAAAACTTCACATTTTGTCTTCCAAGCTAATTAACTGTCTATACTTTGTCACCTTTATGAGACTGAAAATTCCAGCAATCACATGTTCTTTGAATATCTCACAGCACCCAGCACAGTTTATTTCAAGTGGTAGGAGTTAAATAGATATTTATGTAATAGATGAATAAATGAATGAATTCCAGTTAATTTTGCTACAAACTAATATAAAATTATGTCACTGTTCTTCAAGGGTCTCAGCTTAATGAAAATGTATGTATACAGTATGTGAATTTGGGATAGTTACACAGTTCCCATAATCCTGTATACTGGAAGAAAGGATGGCAGAATTTGAACAAATATTATCATCTTGCCAAGTAGAATATTCACTTGAGAAATAAACTTAGAACAAATTCTAGTTATCAGGATTGTATCTGGTCCATGGGGTCTCGAAGAGTCGGATATGACTGAACAACAAGTCTGTCAAAGTGTAGCAGGGTCCTGTGCAGTTTATGTGTGACAAACTAATGCCCAGACCTATGAGTTGATGCCCAAGAAGCATATGATAATAGCTCACATTTGTTTAGCACTTTGAAGTTTATGTTGTGTTTGCTTTACAGTGCTATGAGATGGTCTTGGGAGCTGCCCAGGAACTGGAGTCTTGCTTTGGCCTAGATGGCACAAGTTCCACACAATGCTCTTTTTAGCTACAGCGTGATGCAGTAGAAAAAGCACTTGAAGTCAGAAGATTGGGGGTAGATTTGTCCCTCTGCCATTCAGTTGGGCAAGATACTTCACACCTTAGTTTCCTTGTCTGTAAAGGTGGAGATGATAACTCTTGGGCTACCAAATTGAAGGGTTATTATGAGGAATGTGTTTTGTATACTAAAAGCCCTGTCTAAATATAAGGTATTTTTTAAAAATTAGGATGATGGAAGTAAAATGTTTCATAAAAGTAAGCCTTTCCTATGATATCTTTAAGAAGAATAATTCTTAGGCATCCTGGTGTGTAGCAGGTAGTGAGCAGACCTCAGAATCCAAACTACCTGGATATTGACTGACTGTGGTCAAGTTACTTAATTTCTCTGTTCCCACACAAATACGAAACAAAAAACAGTTGTTGGTCTGCATTTGTAGAAGGAATAGTGTCATCTGCAACTCCTCACACTGATTAAAATCACTGGTCTAGACACAGAAAAGTACTTTCCATAAGAAATAATGCAGTATATATGTTTTCCCAGTTACTAAAATGAGGCGGTTGTTAACAAGTACAAATTTTTTCCGCTTGTGAGCATTTTTATAAGCTGCTTTTGCAAGCAATAGGAAAGAGTGCCCTCTTGTGAAGAAAAAGAATTTTCAAAGGTTTCTAGCCCTCTAATAAAGCAAAGGAAAAGATTATGATAATTGTAAGCATGTATATCATTTTGAAATGCTGTGCATTTTCTATTCTTATGGAATTCTGATTTCCAGCATGAGACAGAATAAAGCACACTTGCTTGTCTTACTTAATTTTCATCCCGCCCTAAAAATGCATTAGCACAGCACAGAGCACTACGCTAATTGAATCTGGAGATGGCTACTGCATTGTATACAGACGTATAATTGAAAAAAAAAATTAAGTATTTGCTATGCAGATGTCACTGTGCTAAGCACTAGGGATAAACAAAAAAAAAAATTTTTTTTAGGAAGCTACCTACCTTCAAATATCGCTGAGGACTATTCTGTAATTCCTGAATTTATTCCTATGAGATCATCAGGCAAATAAAATTTTTATATTTTCAAAAAGACCCTCTTACCTGGCTTACACTCTGCAAGTACAATCTTAAGAGTCCCGATATATGAACTAAATACAATAAAATTCAAGCTTCATTAACTCATAATATATAATAATTTGAATAGAAATTGAGCCAGAATTTGTTTTTGTGCTATGAAGACAGTTATAGGGAATATTTAGTTTTACAATCTAAATGTAAAACAGAGGCAAACAAAAATGCATATGTACAAAGAAATCCTCTCATGTTGATGGATATTGAGGATAGACTAACACATTATAGGCTAATCAGACTTACTGAATTTAACTGTTTTTTAGGAAACATAAATCCTCACAGTATCCTTATAATGTCATCACATCATGAGTTTCTACGATATACAAATAAGTATGAATTCATGTAGTGCCAAGTATATACATAAGTATGGAGGGGAGGAAGATGACTGGCACTGTGTATGTTAATTATGGAGAGTTTCTTTGGCTAATTTTGAGCATGGAATGACAGAACTAGAGAAAAGGTATTAGTCTACTCTGGAATCCTTACTGTGTCTTTAGCTCCTAACTTCAGTCCTAAATGGGAATCTTCTATTCTGTGAAGATTCTTTGCCTAGTTCATAGGTGTCCCAGGGTCACACTTCAGGACATGCTGGCCTGAACCATAACGCTTTCCAGAGATTCAGGTGCCTTTTCTTTCTAACGATCTATGATATGTACTATATTGTTTGAAGTGAGATATAGACCAG